TCAGGGATAAGGACAGAAGAGGAAGAACCATAATACTTAAAGGCACAAACAAGGAGAAATCCAGTGAACAGAGAGGAATAAATTATGGGACACAAAGATTTGCATCCTGACAGAGCTGCAGTTCTTCAAGTAGTACAGCAGTGGATCCACAGCAATGGCAACCCTGAGCCCAGACACTGCAGGAATAGCAATGCTGAAAAGGAAGGGTCTTACATGGATTCTAGCACACCACCCATTACAAAAAAAAACAGGAAAGCAAATCATGTCCCGTGAAGTTAGTGCACAGCAGGACCATGACACCAACCAACCACAGCTTTTCTGCTTCTCATTTGAGGCTACAAAAGGAGAACAGAATTGGATAAGTGGCTGCAGAGCACAAGGAGAAGGAAGCAGATATGTGACAGACACAGCTAATCTGGAACACCAACACAGAAGCTGAGATGCAAACCAGAAGGCCATAGGTAGTGATTCTGCAGAGGAAGGCTTGGTAACAAAAGGAACTCAAGAGTATGTAAGAAAGGGGCAAAGCAAGGCTGTACACGGCCTGCAGACTCCAGCAATTCCAAGCTATCAGGTTCCTGCTTGTCCTGGTCTTATCCTCTTCCATCTCCACATTTCTTCAGCATCTTTGTCAGATACTCAGCAATTTCACTCCTCTGCTCCCCTCTGTGCCACTGACAGATGAACCCGTGCTCCAAGACATGGTCATCAGAAGATGAAACCTCTCAAGATACACAGGGGTAATTCAAAGATACTACAGCATGCATTCCTGAAACTCCCCTCTAGTTTCACATCCCAGTGTGCAGATCCAGGCTTGGTAGAGAATCAGACTCACAGAGTGGTTTTGGTTGGAAGGGACCTTAAAGCTCACCCAGTTCCAACCCCCTGCCATGGGCAGGGACACCTTCCACTAGAGCAGGTTGCTCCAAGCCCCTGTGTCCAACCTGGCCTTAAACATTGCCAGGGATGGGGCAGCCACAGCTTCTCTGGGCACCCTGTGCCAGCACCTCAGCACACTCATTGTAAAAAATGTCTTCTTTATGTCCAATCTAAACCTACCCTTATGGTGTCCTCAGGGACCCTTAACTGGTCTGGGGCCAGAGGCAGCAAATGGCTTTAATCCATGTATCAAATCACATTTTCCTGGCTCACCAGTAGCACAGGAGGAGCTAAAGCAATCTGCAGGACAAGCTAGTCTTGGCATAACCTTAGAAATCAAGGTGACCAACTAAGGTTTTGCAAGCAATTCTGACCTGGTAGCACTTGCTGCCATTGCCCTTTTGCTTTCTCAACAATGCATCTTGTCAGAGTGCCCTTTTGGAGAAGCTGAAAATAAAGCAGGAAGATGCCAGTCTAGTTGTTCATACCATTCCACAACTGGTTCATCATCCACTCCAAAAAAACCCAGACATTCCCAGGCAACTGGTTTGCCAGAGTCACGCTTAAACTGGCCCTTGCTTCAAGGGGCAAACACTGAGGAAGGAAATCTAAAGAAGGGAGAAAAAGAGAAGAAAAAAGGGGAAAAAAGCAAACGCACATCCTTCCCCCTACGACAGGCCATTATTTCTGACATACTTGGAAGACCTTAATTCCCATGCTACAGAGGCTCACCCACAGGAGATTTATTCCCTCACACTAGTAGCAGAGCTCCTTGCACGGATTAGATTATGGCAAAGCATTTGATTTACATTACGTCAGTGGCTAAGTAAACTACACTGATGGAAAGCAATCACTGACCAAGCTCCTGGACTTAGCTCCAGTGTTCACAGCGATGTTGCTGGCTTTTGTTACCTATTAGCATGTGGAAATCATCTGGAATCTGGTGTTGGGATGAGCTAATGATTAAAGACAAGAAGCAAAGCAGAAGAAAGTAGTTGCAGCAGGTCTTCTACACAGTATGACATGGCTCAGAGCTCCTGATATTAAAATACTTCCCATTTTGGACCATTGGCTTCCTACTAACACATGTGCAAGACTCACCAAATATTAACTCCATTTTTCTGTTACAGTTCCACCCTTTCCCTCTCCTGCTGCCAGAATCATTGATGCCAGAACAGCCTAAGTTGATTCCTTACCCCAATCAAAACAAGCACGCTGCATCAGCCTTGTATCTAAGGGAAGCAACAAGACCATTACCATGAGAGTAGCAGATATTTTCAGTGTGGCACCCTGCCTCCACCAGCTGTACCAGGAATCCTCAGGAAAATGCTGGCAAGAACCAACACCACCAGTTTATCCTCCCAAAACAAGGGCCTCCTTCATTCTCCTTTCAGCCCCAGCACACACCCACGCAAGCAGACACAACCAGTCGTGTTAACCAAGATGCTAACCCTCCTAGAGATGCTGAACTTTCCAATGTGAGTATGATGCTTCTCCCTCTTTCCTCAGAAGAACCACAGCCAACCTCACTTAAGAAACTGAGGAAAGGTAAGGGGACAAAAGGTAGAGAGAAAGTGCTCCTGGCTTGTTCTTCCCCCTACACCAGGAGCAACTGGTATCCCTGCGTCATGCTCTGAGGAGACCAGGCAGGCTTTCCAAGTGTCTTCTATTGATCCAGCCAGCCACTACCCTCTCTTAAACAGTAAGGGGGAGCACAGACAGGTGAAGCCACAAGCCAGTGTCACCACCTCTTCTTCCTTACTTTTCCAGCAATAAGCAATCTCTCAACCCCACACATCCTTCCAGGCCAGCTCCACATCTGACAGCTTCACAGTTAGCAGAGGGCACTCCAGCTCACATAACTTTGGTGCTCAGGCTCTGTCAAGATGGAAGTTGGATCCCCCTGTTCAAGCACAAAGCCACAATGTGAAAGACCAAGTGGGGAAAGGAACAAGGCAGGATAGTAGTAGGAAGGTCAGATGTTTTACCCAGAAATATCTTGTGCAGATACCTCTGAGCTACAATGCTATGAAAGCACAGCATGAAGTAAGATGCTGGCTTTCTGGGAACTACACCTCCAAAAGCAGAGGGATGCAGGGTCTAAGGAGAAGAGATAAAAGAGTGAAAACCCAGCAGAGTAACCCAGCAGAGTGTTTCCTGCCAGGTCCAACCCCTGTAACTGATCCCTTGTTTCACTTACGCCCTGCAAGCCTCTCTAAGCCCACACTGATGTCTTCCTGGCTGTCTCTAAGTGTCACAGCACAAGGCCAGACTGTAACACAAAACAAAGATACCAGCCTTAGATAATGTGAAGCAATCCTAGGAGTGCACACACACACAGAGGGAGGACAAAGATCCCAGCTTTCTCAACTGCCACACAGCAATTGGACACTGCCACACATTCCTGGGCAGAATAAAATCCTCAGCTGTGAAAAGTACAGGAGATAGATAGAGAAATAAAGCCTACCTACAGTCTACCAAGTTGACCTTCTCAGAGCTTGAAAAGCAAGTGGGAGAGAGACACTTTTTTGTCTTGCTATTAAATCTTAAAATAACAATGTGTAGGAGAATCCTACCCTCCTGCCCTGTGCACAGAGCTACGGGGGGTGGGAGGAAAGTGGGGATGAGAGTCAGAGTGAAGTTGAATTTCGGGCTGAACAGGCCCTCAGCTGACCAGGGATCCCAGGAGACAAAGCAGAGTCTGCCTAGAATCTCTTTTCTAACTCCAGGGTGTCTGCTATTGTATGCGCAGCCTAGTTACAGTTCACTGACTTAACACAAAAAATGAATTGATTTCCATAATGAAAAGGCCTCCACATGGCTCCAAAATGACACAAAAAGAAAGGGCACTGCAGCTTGGGAAGATTTAAGAACAAAATCAAACCACTTTTTGCCTCGTTGAGCTGAAGTTTTGGGCCCCCAGACAAACAGCTATTTTTAGCTGATCATCTGGAAAGTGCAAGGCAGCACAAAGCATTGGGGTCAGCGTCACTGCAGGAAGCCGGCACGCAGCCTCAAGAGAGGGTTAAATGTAGTCAGGCACCACACATCTGCATCATCAGCACTTGCAGAGGGACCAGCGGCACAGAGCTATTTATAAAGCAGATCTGTGCAGCTGCAGCCTGCAGTGAAAGACAAGGACTGCAGGCTGTCAGCCCTCAACATGCTCATTTAATTAAAGAGATGGCTATGTTCACATGCACACATATATGCACACATGTCCTTTTCCCAGGAGAGGTACAAGAAATGAGCTCAGTGTTGGAAAACAAGGTATTTCACAAAGGTTTCTGTACAGAGGGCAAGCACCCCCAGCAAACATGTCCTCACACAACCTTCCCTTTCCCTCACACTGTGACTAAATGGGACTGATGGGCTGTGGCTGCAGGCGCAAAAAAAAGAGGTGGTTACTGGGTTGCTTTGTAGCCCTGGACATGAAAGCAAAGTCTCGGAAGCAGTATTAATCTGCATGGAGAGAAGAAATTCAGTTTGTAAGCAAGGTATTTGTGAGTCCCACATGTCTTCTGCACCAGGACATATTTGTGTGCCATCACTTTCTATTTAGAGGTGAAATCCAGTTTCAGACACAAAGCCCCGTCTGCCACTAAGCAGCTAGAGGGAGCGTTTCCTTATGCGACTAAAAAACAAAAGCCTCTATCACTTCCTCCCCATTCCCTCTCTTACTGCCCATAATCCCTGGTAAACGGGACTCTCCTGCCAGGGGACCTAGCAACAGCAAAGGACAGGAGGAGAAAATGGGCTGCAATCGGCCTGCTGTGGGTAAAGCACTGCTGATGTACAATAAGCAACTTGCTGGCAAAATAGAGTATGAATGGCAGCTGCTGGTGAGGCAGAAGCAGCTGCAGAGGAAGCCTGGAGATCAGGTCACAGCCTGGGCTCTGCTGTCCTCTCAGCCCCTGAGGACCAGGAGCCTAATCCCCACACACACACACATATATGCCATTCTGCCTCCTCCAACCCCAAACAGCAACCACTTGGAAAAGCCCCTGCAGGAACACAGGAAGCTGTGGTTTGGGTTTAGTTCTGACAGCCACTGCAAAATACAGTCCCCAGTGTCTTTTTCACAACCTAACCAGGCACTCATTCGAAACACAACAACAAACCTGTTCTGGAGGAAATGATGCTCCTGGAGTCCAAGTCAAGCTTCTTGACAAGAGTATCAGGGTCAATCTTCAGCCCAGAAAAGACACCGGAAGATGAGAAGTCCCAGTCCTTATCCAAAAGAAACATGAAGCAGGAGTTAGTACAGACACCATCAGACACATTCATTAAACCAAAACCCAACCCCAGCACCTTCCAGACAGGAGCAGGGTGCAGGTGCCTCTCCTGAGCAGGCAGGGGTGGGTAAGTCACCCCACTGGCCAGAACCCCTCAGGCTTTTCCAACTAGAAGGAAGCTTCACAAAGTCATGCTTCAGACTGTTTTATTCCTAACAGATTTCTGCCTCAACCCAAGCTCACCTGACCTAAGTGGATTCTGGTCTTAATGTGAATGGTATCCTTAGGAAAAGCCAGATTTATTACAGGTACATGACAATACAGATAAGCAATAAATGAGCAGATCAGGGGCCTAAATCCTAAATCAATGGACATTAAGCAGATTCAGTGACTAACAACATACCAAATCTTCAGCATCTAGTTCCTTTAAGCATGCAATAGCTCTCTAAGTGCTAAGCTTTGCAGTAACTTCTCGGGTTGGCTTAGAAGAATTGATATTTTAGCCAGCAGGTTCTCCCAGTGCTGACACATAACTTCGTAGTGGTATAAAACCAGCTGTATATGGCACAGTATGTTCCTCCCTATTTAAAAGGAAAGCTGTAGGTGCATAAAAAGCATTAACTGCTGCTCTGTGTCCTTGCTGCAGGGGAACTGGGGGAGGCAACCAGCTTTAGCCTGAACTGCATTATTAATAACACAGCTGGTGAAGCCAGACATGGCCTAAATCCCCTCAATGACTGTGTATAAACTGACAGCTCATCTCCACCTGCTCTAACCTGGAACTGAAGAGAACCAGTGCAAAATGAGCCAGGCAGACTCCGACCCCTCTGCTCCCAACACACGCTGGTGGCTGACGTAACTACCCCCACACAGCACATCCATAGTCATGGCTGATGCAGAGAAGCACGCTGGGACACTGGTGGTGCACAAGCAGGACCTGGCACTGGAGCCCTGAAGCTCCAGGCTCCCTTGTTCTGCCTGCTGTGACCAGCCGTGCCCTTGTCAACACATTCCTCCTGGAGATAAGTGGTGCGAGAGATGAGCAGCTGCCCAGCACAGTGCCACAGCGGCTTCAAGGCCACGGGCACAGCATTAAGGGTGTACGGTGACTTTTCCAAGCAGGAAAAGGAGACCAGCCTTCAGGAAACACTATAGTTAGAAGGGACCTTAAAGCTCATCCAGCTCCAATCCCTGCCACAGGCAGGGACACCTTTCACTAAAGCAGGGTG